ATTAGTGGATCTCACATTATATTTTTTAATTTTTTTATTATAAAATATTGAGTTGAAGGTTATTTTTGTCTCTCAACTTTACATTGAAAGGTCAGTAAATACCCTAACTCAAATATTTTATAATAAAAAAAATGTTAAGAAGATTCAATGTAAAATCTACTAACAGTGAACAAATGTTAAGAAAATGACAAAATGATGAAGAATGGATTGTTAACATTGAGGAATAAAATTGACTCATAATTAAATTTGGGGTGCCCATTGATCTTTTAGGTAAAGTTGAGGAGAAAAAAATGATCATTAACCCTTATCATTTTGATGCACAACATTATTTTTAAAATCGAACCATCTAGTGAATTGGTAGAAATATAATTTTTAATTTAACAATGTGATATTAATTGAAATATGGATAAATGTATGATAACTAAATGCTTAACATTGAAATTTAAAATATTAAGATTCTAAATAACAAATAGATGGCAGGACCTTGTTCTTGAAACCTGTTTCATCAATTCTCGTGACAACCGATTTCATCCACGACCTCATCACAATGTGATTTTTGGAGACCATAGTGCTGTGGCAAGGGAATAAATTAAGTCATCTTTCCTTTTGAAAATTGGGATCCTCTCCTCTGGAGAAATTTCATTTGCTTTTCACCACCCTACAATAATTAAGAGGTTGACTAGATCTCCCACGCAATCAAATGAGACCTTAGTGCTTTGGCAAGGGAGTAAATTGAGTCATCTTTCCTTTTGAAAATTGGTAGCTTCTCCTCTGGAGAAATTTCATTGGCTTTCTCCACCCTACAATAATTAAGAGGGAGACTAGATCTCATGTTTCTTTACAGTAGATTGACAAAAAAAATTGAAGATAATTAGACAATAAAAAATGATTTAGTTGGTAAGAAATTGACATGAGTTTAGCAAACGCGCTTTTAAGGAGACATCCAATCATTCATTCAAGTAATTCAAAAATTTTCACAGAAGCATCTTGAAGCTGAGAGTTCGAGGCTGAATTATTTCCTATTCTCTATTCCCTAATTTTGTTTTAGCTTTGTTATTTATAAATGAAAATTTTTAAAATAGTTTTAATTTTTATTTTTATTATGTGGTTTTCTAAATTACCTAATTAGAGACAGGGGGGACCCGAACTGATAGACTAGTTTCTACTACTTATTTTGACTTTTATTTCATGAATTTTTTTATTTATAATCTTTTCTAATTATATTTATTTTTTTGTTCATGGGATGTTATGTTTGCTTTACATATGTAATATCTAATTAATGGATAAGTTCAAATGATGAGCTAGATATAAATTAAGACATAGAGTTGTGTGATAGAAAATTTAAACCTAATTAAATAGGAATTAATTAATTGAGAACTACAGCTAATTGTCACGGATGATATTTCCGTGACCGTGTAAAGACCAATGTAATGAATGATCTGCTGGTTAGCCTCGCACAATATGGATAAAGGGGGCGATATTAGCATTGGGGGTGTTCTGCCTCAGTCTTCGGACTGAGTGCACAACTGGTCGGGGGCTAGTGCCGCATCTCTGATGAGCCCATGGCAGGGCGAAACCAATGTGATTCGTATGTGATAAGGCTTGTCCTGAGGATTATGGGGTCCTCCAGGATGCCGCATGGGCACCGTGTGCTGTGTCAGATTCTCAGCCCGTGATAGAGTGGTATCAGAGCAGGACGTACTTTATTGCATTGTGCCTGTGGGGTCCCACGTTGGGACTGGTCGACCTTGGCACCGCTCCAGAAAGGCCTCCGAGCAGGTGGGTCCAAAAGTGGGGACTCGGGCGGAAAGGTTGGCCATTGTCGACTCCACTCCTGTTAGCTCGCGGGTGCGAGTGGGTCCGAAGAGTGCAGGACTCGGGTGGCCACTCAGCAGTAAGCTGATGTGTTTGTGGCAGTACTGTACGTACGATCCTTGGGCGGAGTCTTTCTGCCTTAGCACAAGGGCGTGCTAGATTAGGTGTGAGAGAATGTCACGGATGATATTTCCGTGACCGTGTAAAGACCAATGTAATGAATGATCCGCTGGTTAGCCTCGCACAATATGGGTAATGGGGGCGACATTAGCATTGGGGGTATTCTGCCTCAGTCTTCGGACTGAGTGCACAACTAGTCTGGGGCTAGTGCCGCCTCCCTGATGAGCCCATGGCAGGGCAAAACCAGTGTGATTCGTATGTGGTAAGGCTTGTCCTGAGGATTATGGGGTCCTTCAGGACGCCGCACAGGCGCCGTGTGCTGTGCCAGACTCTCAGCCCGTGACATAATGCCCTAAATATTAGAAGGTGAAGTTAAGGGAAGGTTGTCACTTTATGCTTATAAAAGAGGAAGCCGCCACAGACACGAACTCTCTCGAACATCTTCAACAACCACAACTCTAATAATTCAAAAGCATCCCAAATGCTTTAACACTTTATCTAATCAAAGCAAAAATATGTTATCTTTTAGCAAATTTGACACAATTCCTTCAGCGCATCACAGTAAGAGTAGTTAGTTTCTCGAGTAACCAATAAATCATAAGCTTCTATTAGAAGAGTAGTAATAACATGCTAGCACTTTTCTTTTAATTTTTTACATTATAGTTGTTGTAATTTAATTTTTTTTATTATTAATATCATGTCTATTCTTATCAAGTAAATCTTGCATGTTTCTCAATTTTTATTTATTCATTCCTTTTACTTTTATGGACGGACATTCAGGGAAATTATGATAAAGGATTCTAGGACCTCACCATTAATTCACAAATTAGGCGGACATGTTTTTCTAGCACGCCAGTGCGCTAAGCTGCCAACACCTATAAAAGGTGAATCTTCATCCCTTAAAACTACTAGTGATAAGATAACTTTTTATGTTATTTTTGGATCTTTTTATTTTTTTAGCATGATTCTTGAGCTTTTTGTTTTGAAAAAATTATATTTAGGTCCAACATAAAAAAATTTATCATCAAAAAATCCTATAAAATTCATAAAATACTTTTAAATCTCAAATAATACACATTTTCAACTTGACTAAAGGCATTAACAATTAGGCAATGACACAAGTTGTAAATGATCATTGTCTAATTGTTAATATCCTTAGTTAAGTTGTAAATACATAGGATTTGAGATTTAGGAGTATCTTATGAATTTTATGAGACCTCTTAATAATAAGTTTCCTTATGTGGCACTTAGATGTAATTTTTTTTCTTTTGTTTTTTTTGCTCTCTTCTCATCATAAATCTCAACTCAAATAACTATCTCTTATTTATCGCTATTTTTTTAAATTAAAATTAATTTAAATAATAAATTTACCATCTCACTTCCTTGTGACTTCAACAACACAGTAATAAAAGTCACTTTCAATTATTACTTTTTTCTAAAAAAGAGGAATTTATCATTTAAAAAATGTAAAATTTTAAATTTTAGTTGTCTAAATTAAATTTAAATGGTATATATCTTTTCTCCCCAATGAATATCCCAAGCACATTATTTGGACGCCCAACACGTGCACATATATTATGACTCAGGAATTGTAGTGTGGTCCAACGCAGATTTGATTTCAATTGCAAAAATCCTCATCTCATGTTGGAAAATATCTGCAAAATAAGGTTATCTTTTCACGTTGATTCATAATTGAGCCCATATGTAATTATTAGTTATTAATTATTTTTTTTGGGTAAAAGCCATTAATGTCATTTTATATGCTACAAACATTGATCAGAAAAATATACTATATTTTAACAAATAATACTCCTCTGGTTTTTTTTATAGGGCAAAGAGAGAAGAAAAAATTTGATCCTATTTATAAAGCATTTATTAATTTTCAATGCCCCTCTTTTATATTTCTGCCTTTATTAAATGCTTTAAATAAAAATATCAATAATGAGATTTAAGAATATTTATTAGGGGTAAAGATGAAAACTTGTTAAATTTTAAGACAAAGTTAATGAGATTTAAAATTTTTCTTGATTCTGATAAAATATTATAGAAGTGATTTATAAATAAGACAATGAAAAACAAATTTATTAAAACTTAATTCAGTCCCAATTTAAAATTCAATCATGAATTTTTTACTAATAAATATGCTAACAAAATGAAATAGTAGTATATGTGGCAATAATAGTAATCTATCGTCATACCACATAACGATTATAAAAGCGAACTTCTTGGGGTTAAGTCTGTCCCACAACTTGTTAATTGTCGTCTTTTAATTAAATGTCAATTTCACAATAAAATATCTTATAAAGTTTAGTAGATAATGTTTACAATGATGTAACAAGTAAAAGATTTATTAAAAAAAATATTATTTTGTAAGACCTAAATATTACTCACTCCCATACTTAGCATAAGATAAATTTAACCAAATTCATGTTTATTAAAGATGATAATTCTATCCTTAAAATTATTTTAAAAATATGTAACATTTTAATTTTGTCTTTCTTTAAAATTAATAATTATAACAAACTGCTATCTAGGAATTCAAGCCATAATAAATAAAAAACTAAAAGTGAAAAAATTAATTACGTTAGCTCTACCTTATATTAATGACGTCCAGGAACCGTAAGATATATAATGACACACAGAAAATTTAAAAAAATGATAAAATCAATTTTTGTGAAGGATTATAATATTATCATTGAAGCCTTCAAAAATTATAATTAATTATTCTAAAAATTACAGCATGATCTTAGATATCATAAAAATGCTTTAGATTCACAACTTATTTATTTAGAAAGTCCTGTAACATAGAGAAATAATAATAATATAATAATAATAATAATTTTGAAAACACAAGCGATAATTTTGATGAGATACAGAAATGTTAGAAGGGGATCGTGCGGCTCTAATTTCCACAATCCACTTACATAAGGTCTTGAAATGTAATGAATACCTTGTACAGAGATCCTTAAGTGACATTTCAAATTTGTTGTTCCATTATTTAAGAAAGGAAGTAAACAAGTTTTGTCCATTACTTCTACAAATCAAACTCATCATCAGTTCATAAAATGGCAGAGAAACCTCAGTTAAGTTCTTGGTCCTCTGGCTTATGCGGATGCTTTTCCGACTGTGAAGCTTGTAAGTTATCTTTATCTTATCTCCTCACTATATCGTCCTCGAGCCTTCCATGGTATGCATCAATATTATATTAAGACACTGATCAAACGTACTTTTCACTAAAATGATATAAACAATGGTTCATAAAACTTACACGCTTACAATGGTTGAGCTACTACTGCATGCGTGCATGGGGAGACCGTAATATTTTCTAGAAGTTCTGTTTGATCCAAAATACTTGAGTAGTTCTTATAATTTTTCTTTCAACTATATCTTTACTTCATTTATTATTTCTCTTAAAAAATAATTTTTAAAATTTTAATTGACATTATTAAAGCACTTATATAGATAATTTAATGTGGATATAGTTGAAAAAATATGTTTTTTTTTAAATCAAGGTTTCAAATAATTTTTTCTTAAAACCTCAAAGTGATTACCAGTATAATGCCTTATATTATGAAGCAGATAGGAGGGAGTAACATTCATGCTATCACACACAAAAGAGTGAGAGAGACATTTGGTCGTCCAAGGAATGTTGTCATTAGTATCGGCACGTGGAATGTTGTTATTAGGATCGGCATGTGGCTACTGAATATAGTGTTATGAGTCCTGGCCCTATATCAGGAAACTTCACAAGTATATAAAGTGAAGTTTATAAGTTTAAAAGGCTCTCAGATCTAACAAGCTAGCACGTTAGAATGAGTTGTTCTCATAATGACATTAAAAAAAAAATTTTGACTTTGACATTAAGATAAGATGATAATTAATGTATAAAAATATTTCTATCCTGTTGGTATCAAACATCTTCTGTCTACATACATTTGGTGACATTTCCTGATAAACTTTCCTTTTTATTTTCCCTCAAATGAATAGGTTGCATCACTTTCTGGTGCCCATGCATCACCTTCGGAAGAATTGCAGAGATCGTAGATAGAGGAGCAACCAGTAATTAAGTTTAATTGTGTTACATTTTTTTTACTCATGTTCAATGTCTTGTTGTGCATATATATGTAATTACTGTTGAATGGTTAATTTTTCTCATATAAATGTTGGCAGGTTGTCTTCTGCAAGGAGCACTATTCTACATACTGGGTGGTTTTACGCATTTTGTGTCATTCTATTCATGCATTTATCGCACAAAGTTAAGGAAGCTATATAAGATTGAAGGCAGCGAAACTTGTGATTGCATTGTGAGTAGCTTCTGCCCTCACATGGCGCTTTGCCAGGAGTATCGCGAGCTCAAAGCTCGTGGATTCGATATGTCTGCGGGTAATTAATTAATCTTAACTAAGAGATTTTATTTTAATTAACTCTTTTAATTAATTATTGCACGTTCTCTTTGAAGGATGGCAAGGAAATGTGGAATTGCAGACTCCCGGCGCCGTAGCAGTGACAGCTCCGGTGGTGCAAGGTGGCATGAGCCGCTAACTTATGATCCGTTGATGGGGTTCTCTTGGTTATGACTTATGATATTATAACTCTTAGACATATAGCGGAAATAAGTAAACTTAAATATTGTCTCTTTAATATTTTATTTGTGAGTCTTTTAGTTTTTGTATGGTTTTGTGAATAAGTGAAGATTTAGTGCTGTGTCATGAGTTATCTTGACGTCTGTGTTTCATGAATATATGGTAATTATATGATATCTATGAAAGAGGCTGTGCGGGTCTTCTTGGTGTATGTGGCTCATGTAATAAAGGGAAATGTGTGTTTCATGATGAATGTGTTAATTGGGAGAGTAGGTTTAACATATAATATAAGAAGTGAGTTCTAATGTGTGGATATTGAAGAGAGGGATGGGAGAGCTAATTAATATAAATATATGATTTGTTTTTAGTTTCTGTATATATCCTTTTTCCGAGTAGAGTTTTCACCATCTCCATACTTTCCTCATTCCAACATAATATCTTCTCCATTTCTTTATTTTTTACCCCATCAGCGGGTATTCTGGGTAATGTGGTGCATTACCACCATTCGCCCAAATTAATCTAAACCTCTGATTTGCTGCATAAAATTGTTATTAACAACTGCAACCTTATGAGTTTTTCAGAAATGTTTGTGATATTTTTATTTAATATAATTGCGTATTCTATGATTCGAACTTGAAACTTTAAAATAAGATAATTTAACTTTCTTAGCCAATTGGATCAAGCAATAGGCATCATGGTTGTTTTTTCATTTTAAAGTGAGATTCACGCAGAATTTGTAGTAATCGTCATTACTTGAGTGAAGTCCTATAATTGCTCTTTCGGTTTATCAATAGATATGTGTGTGTGTGTGTGTGTGTGTGTATGAGGAAGGCACTTGTTTTATGATTACTCTTATTGAGATGTTAATCACACCATGGTAACTTTTAGGAGATATTTAACTATCTTTGAGGTATATGCAAGTTGTAACGTGGTAATTTGATGGTGAATTGAAGTAGGGAAATAGTTACATGAAATAATCCTAAATATAGGTTAAATTTATCCTTAAATTGATTATGAATATATCCAAACATAACATAATGTTGACTAATTCGCTTTAAATGATTCCGACAGTAACACCTGCAGACATTTAGTAGTGTAAGGTCTAAATCTAATCATAATTATTTGGAACAAGTCCAAATCAAGTAAAAAGGAATTGTAGTGGAGCAAGATTTATCGACAAACACTTTCAAGAGTTCATCTTTCTTTCTCACTATATATAAGAAGAGCAATGTCTTTTCGTAATTAATTAAGCGGATTCCATCAATTTATGTAATATAAATATTCCAGTTCAAGTGAAATGAGAAAACTGAAAATTCAACACACACACTCACCCACACACAGGCACACACTTTGTAAAATCAATGTACTCCCTCTTATCCAAATCATAGTTATAGCCTTATTTAGTCACTAATAAAAGATAAAGATGTGACAATTACTCTCACAGTCCTATTTATAGGGTAGGAAAAAAAATACTTTTTGTAGTTCTATTTATGAGGAACCTTTATGATCTTTGTGTCCATATTTACTCTTTTATATATTCTTATTAAATGCTAGGAATGTACAATAAAACTTAATGAAGTATTTTATTGTTAATTTATTACTTATCGGTATACATGAGCTACCTATTTTTTTTGGGGTATTATTGGTTATACTCCATGTGAACATCATATTTTATTTGGGCCCTTCTAAATAAATAAAGCAACATTTATAATAAATTAATAAAAAATTATTAAAAAAGAGAAAATGAAAAATGAAAAAAAAAAGAAAACATTTTATAGAAGCAATCTCTATAATAATAAGAATGAAAGTAGGAAAATATTTTATAACAAGAAAATAAATAAATAAAAAGTTAAAAGATCTTTGATTTGAAGATAATAAAAAATGACACCAATATAATCAAGCTAAGTCACAATCTAATACAATAATAAGCTATAAATATTTGAATATCTCAAAATAATATAATAATAAGAATATAATCTAATCTAACATTACGATTTGAAAACCTCAAAATATATAATGTAATATTTAATATTAAGATTTGAACATTCTAAAATAATATAATAATCATAACATAATAATAGATAAGATAACAATTAATATCCAATCTCTAAATAAAAATAATATAAGAATATATAAAATATAGATCATGATATGATTGAAACTTTAAAAAGAAAACCTAGGTGTAGGGGTTCATACAAAGGAAAGCAAAGGTAGAGCCACATGGCAATTGGAAGCAAAAAAAAAAAATTATGAGAGGAAAATAGTACAATAGAAAATAGTAAGACAAGAGATCTAATTGATAAAGGTAATTAGAGGTAAGCTCATCTCTCATAAACTTTATAAATGCTTGAAAATTAGTGAGTTAAATGGAAATCATAGGATCACCTTAGGATGTTACTCTTCCACCCGCTATTTTCCTTAATTTATGATTTTCATGTGAAATTTGGTCGTTCATATATTCAACTATTATTTGATTTGGTCTCTTGTCTTTTAGTCTAAGATTTGAGTTTGGATCCTCTTCATTTGTCTTCTTGCTTACTCCATATACACAATCCATAAGCTTTGAATGTTAACTCTTCGGTTTTGAGTTCATTAATGTTTGTGCCTACGTCTACTACTTTTTGATCCTGATATGATGCTTGGCTAAGAAAAAGTTTTTACTTTTATAATGGCATTTAAGTGTAATATATGGGAAATCTTGGCATCATAATTGAATTTGGAGGTATATATCATGTGAGAGTGATCATGAGAAATTTTGAGAAATGCAATTTCAAAACTCAAATCTCAAATCTTTGTTTATTGATTATTCATTATATCTATTAAGATTTTACTTAATCTGTTATTGTAAGAGACTTTCAGAATCCTCATAAATTTTTGGGTTAATTAATTTGGCATACATGGGAATAAATTATCAACATGTGCATCTACAAAGCCTTTTATATTCTTTTGATCATCTAAGACTTTCAAAGTCCTTGCAATTATTTAAGTTAATTAATTTATCATGTATGCCCATAAATTATTGTAGTACATCATTAAAAGCAAATTTATATCCATTTGATATGTAAAACTTCTAGATTCCATGCAAGCTTATAAGTTAATTAATTTATAATCCTCCATGGCAATAAATTATCACATGTACATGGTTTTATTCTATTTACTATGTGAGACTTTCCAGAGTTCTTATATATTTATAAGTCAATCAGTTTATCTTATGTAGTGATAAATTATCAAGAGTATATATTTCAAAGGATTTAAAAATAAAATATTTTCCTAAAATAAATAAAATAAAATAAATCATATTTAGAAGATGGATTTTGGATATATGAAATTTTCATAAATTTTATCAGAATATTTCTCCAAATTGTTTCTCATAATTTCATCATAAATAAAGAAATAAAATATTTTCATGAATAAAAAATACAAACCAACATTGAAATTATTTATGACAATAATCAATAGTTAATGTTTTCCTTAAAAAAAAATACTCAACCAAGAGACACGCATTTTGACCCTGAATTACATGGACTTTGATCTTTCAAAATAGTATGTAAGCTCTAGGGTTTTATCTTAATTTAAGTCTAACTTATAAATAAATAGGTTTTCCTTTTGATTATCTTATTTTTTTATTAAGGATAATTGATATATTTTCAAGGCCATATAAATTTATATATTTAACTTAAGGTAACTATTTATATAATGGGTATTGTGAGGTGCCTAACACTTTTCACATACACAGACCACTTGTTAAAGAGGTTTTCAAAATTACCTTTTAAAGTTTTGATGGCAAATCCTAAATATTTATTTTTTTATTCAAATTTTCTCCTTGAAAAATTCCAGATCAAGTCTTAGAAGTATTTTTTGGTCTTTGATTAATATAAGGCATACTTGATAAGACATTAATTATGTTTTTTAATATTATTCCTATTTAAACTCATTAACTATGAGAGAAGCAGTAATGCAGATTTGAGAATGTATCATTTAACTATGGGCCTAGTAAAATTGGAAGTTTTTTCTGTTTTAAGACAAAATTAAAGACTCAACTATCTTTTCTTGGTTCAAGTGAGATGATCAGAGGTGTCTTATTGAGGATAACTAGTAAGTTATCTCCCTCATTCGTTCTTCATGATAATTGATAGTTTTCTTTTTCCCCTTTTAAAGCAAACTATTAAATTCCTATTAATTGGGGTCAAACTAAAAATATCATAAAGATGACATAACTCTTTCAACAAGCTAGGTATCTAATTTAAGGGTCGGATACTATTAAAATTCAACCCTAACACAATTGGTTAAATTAGCTAGCATAGTTTCATATCGGCTAAGTTTTATATTATTGTTTTTCCTTTTTATCGTCACTTGTTATGATAAAAAGAAGGCATTTATTTTACCCAAAAAAAGAAAGAAAGAAAGAAGACATTTGAAGGTGATGCATGCTTTATTGACATGCATGTTTAGTAACAGTATTGAAGCCATGATGACGTTTTTTGAAGGAGTAGTGAAATTAGACTTCTAAGCCAATTGATATATAAATAATTTTTCTGAAAGCCACAATATTACTTTTTCTTACAATTATTAAACATTTATTTTTAAAAGAAAACCACAAATGTTTGGATGTAGCAACTTTAATTCTTTTAAATTACTGCATTGTCTTTCTTATAGTTTTCTTGCTTTTTATTTCCAATTTTATTATGAAATCAAACAAATTAAGGCAATATCATACTCCCTTTAACTCTTATTATAAGACACCTCTAACTACTTCATCAAAATTAAAGAGAAATGGTTAAGTTATTAACTTTATCTAATAATAAAATGAACTTATCATTTTACCTCTATTTAAATGAGAAATTTTACCTCTATCTAATAATAAATGATAGAGCACAATGGCGTCTTGCAATCCATGTAGCCGACCCCACCTAGTGGATAAAGGCTTGTTGTTGTTGTTGTTGTTGTTGTTAAATGAGAAATTTTTAAAT